CTCTCTCTCTCTGCCTCTGCCCCTCTTCCCCACTCACTCTCTCGTTCGAAAAACAAAAAAAGGAAATGAATCATGTTAACTTTTTGAAAAATGTCACCTTTTTGATGAGATTATACATGCATGTCGCACAAAATTCAAAAGCTACACAATTACAGATGACTGTTAACTAAACTCACTGTAATCATTTCACTGTATCCGTGGCTCAGGCCTTTAGGCCCTACACCTCCAACTCCTACAGTGCCGTCGACCAAACTGGGGGGCGGAAGGAAAGCTACAAACTGGTACAATGTGAATAATTTAATACATTCTTCCCGGTCACGCAGTTAATTACGCCCCTTGGAGCAACTCCAGTCACCAGACTATCGCCTTGTCTAGAACGGTTGCAGTTTCCTTGACTTTCTAGCAATGCCTTCTCTGATATTACACCAGCTGCACACGGTCGCTATAGACCAGCAGACAACAGGCGAAAGGGTGAAGCACAGAAATTATAAAGAAAAACCCCTTCTTGAACCAGGGCAACTTGGACATTATTTTTGTGGGCAGCTGGTTAGCTCGGAAAAGACCAGCCGTCGCGGGGCAGAAGGCAGCGGGTTCCGAGCCATCCGGGGGCACACGCGGCCGTCACTCAGCTGCCAGCTCCGACGCTCCCCGATGCAGACAAAGGGCCGGACCGGGGACAAAGGGTCGCGGCCGCGCCTGCGCACAGCGTCCCCCCCGGGGGCGTGGCCTCGCGCCTCGCCCCCGCCCCCTGGCGCTGCGCGCTCACGTCACGGTGGCGTCACGGCGGAGTTGCCATGGCGGCGCTGAGCGGCCTGGCGTCGGCGCTGGAGTCTTACAGGGGCCGCGACCGCCTGGTGAGGCTGGGGCGGAGCGCGCTCGGAGGTCTCGGGCCAGGGCCCGGGCTCAGAGACGGGAAACTGAGGCCGGAGAGGGGCGGGGTCGCTCAGGGATCCTCCGTCGCAGAGGCCCTCCCCGGGCTGGGTTCCGACCCTGTCCCCTAGCGGCGATCGTTAGGTTGTTCCTGCTAACCCGTCATGGCTGGATTATTTTCAGTACCAACCAAATCCGCACGTTTGGACGTTTGGGGTCCGACCAGACCACTGAAGATGGTCACTGGGTTGTCCCAGTCATAGGACTTAGGATTTAGGACCAGATCCCCTATAACTGGGCACTGAGGTTGTTCCAGCCAATTCAACCTGGCTGGACATTTACAAGGCAACCAAGTCCATGTTTGAACATTTAGGGTCTGACTAGGCCGCTGCAGTTGGTCCATGGGTTGTCCCTAACAATCTTCTACGGGGATTTAGGAGTTTCGTAGGGCTTTCCCTGTGTTTGGATGTTTAGGTTCCTACCACATACCCTCTGGTTGGGCATTTAGGGTCCATCCAGGCCCTTGAGGGCAGAGTCTCTGCGTGTTCCTATAGAAGCTTCCTTCTTTTATAGGCAGGAATTTAGGTTGTACCAGGAAACGTACCAGTGGTTGGGCAGTTGGGTTCCAACTAAATCCCTTATGATCGGGCATTCAGGTTTTAATCAATTCCCAAGCTGGACATTTTACACTGCAGAGTTTTGCTGTTAAAAGGGACTGAAAAGAAATCAGTAACAATAATATATAAAACAACAGGAAAAAGCAATTTCTGAAAACCAGATGAAACACAGGTAGAAGGTATAAAGCCGACCCAGTTCTCAATGGCCCCAGTCAGCCACTGAGTTCCTTTGATCACTGAAGTAATTCAAGCATATGACCCTTTTGCTCACTGGGCTGAGGCCGGATCACTTCTCCCCTCCCCACTTCTCCCCTCCCCAGCCCGGCTACAGACTTTGGTCCAGCTGGGTGGATGCAGATATACACGTCCGCCTCGTCCTCCAGCTTGCTGGGAAATGGTTTCATTTTCTTGTTCCCATCACATCTGTCTCCAAAGGGAGGGTGACACGAGCCAGCACTCCCTTCGAGTGTCCACAGTGACTTTTGGACAAGGATGCCATGTTTCTCCATTTGGCCCACGTGCAAGATGGGCCAGCAAATGTTCAGCTCTTATTGGAAGTTTGTTGATCTAGTCTACCGACCACCCCCCCCCCCAGCTTTGTCCCGTGGGACCCACGGCCACGGGGGCTGATCCAGCCTAGTCTGGGACCGCGGCCGTGCTGACTGCTTCTGGTGTCCTGCAGATCCGAACGCTGGGGTACTGTTGCCAACTGGTTGGTGGGGTCCTGGTGGAGCAGTGTCCGGCCAGGTCAGAAGTGGGGACGCGCCTGCTGACACTGTCCTCCCAACTCAGCCACTGTAGGACTGTCCTGCGACTCTTTGACGACATGGCCATGTTTATCTACACGAAGCAGTATGGCCTGGGGGCAGAGGTAAAGGGGCCGTAGAGAGGGAGGCACAGACTCTGGGCAAAAACTGGTGTTTTCTGGACTTGTCTGAAGGCTGTTGTGTGGGCAGTTTATTGGTTTGTTTTGTTTTTTAAAGTTTATTTATTTTGAGAGAGAGAGGGAGAGTGGGCAGGGGAGGGGCAGAGAGAGAGAGGGAGAGAGAACCCCAAGCAGGCTCCACACTGTCAGCACAGAGCCCGATGGTGGACTTGAACTCATGAACCTCGAGATCGTGACCTGAGCTGAAACCAAGGATCAGATGCTCAACCGACTGAGCCACCCAGGAGGCCCCGGCAGTTTAATGTTTTTTTTAAAAAAAACTTTTGCTTTTTTTTTTTGAGATAATCATATGTTCTCGTTTTAATTTAAATTAAAAAATAAGTGGGGTGCCTGGGTGGCTCAGTCGGTTAAGCGTCCGACTCTTGATTTTGGCTCAGGTCATGAGCTCATGGTTCGTGGGATCGAGCCCTGCGTCGGGCTCTGTGCTCTCTCTCAAAATAAATAAATAAATCTAAAAAAATAGCCTCTACATTCATACATTCCAAAAGGCTATATGGGCTGTATGTAGACTAAAAAGTCTCCCTCCTTCCTGATCCCCCTTCCCCAGTTTTCTTCCTCAGAGGCAGCTGTTGTCGGCTTTCTGTGATTGCTTCACGAGACCTGTACAAGCACAGGCAAATACACATTGTTTATATAATGAGCCGTGTGCCATTTTCACCGTCCCGCCACTTGCTTTTTTCGCTTAAACAGCACAACTTGGAGGGCACTCCACATAGGTCCAAACAGAGCTCCCTCCTTCGTTGTGGCCACCTAGCACTTGCTATGCAGCTGGCTGGTCCCCTGTTGAGGGACATGGAGGTTTGGCTGTTATAAGGGGACTGCAGCGTTCTGCGGGAAGGCGCGTAATGTAGAGCAGTGTTCCCTTGCCTGGGGCCATCTTGTTCCCCCAGGGGACGTTTCCCCAGGGGATGGGCTCAGAAGCTGCCTGGGGCCATCCTGGCCAAGTCATGCCCCTCCCTGGGTGTCCCGCCCAACCCCTCTCCTGTCCCCTCTCTGAGCCACTCCATGTTCGCTCCCACCCTCGCTCCACCCCAGTGCCCATGGCCCAGTCACCCCAACTTCAGGTGCTTTCCTGGACCGTCCCCCTGTTTTGGACGCCCATCTCCTATCTTCTTCTTTGATTAGGGCGTGCTTCCCATGTGCCCCCTGAGGACCCCTCCCCCCACATCTCTGCGTCCCTAGACCAGGGGCCCTGTGCACCTTGTCTCTCCCTTGGCCAGAACAGGAACTCCTTTGTTGGGTCCAGTGTTTCTGTGTCTGTGCCCCCTGCCCAGTGAGCATCTCCTCCCCGCTGTAGGGCCTTGACCTTGCTGCTTCTCTGGAGACACCGTGGACTGAGCACACTGGGGAGGGGCGAGGAGGGGCGGGGAGGGCTCTGTTCTCATGGAGGAGTGGAATGTGCCAGCACACCAGAAGGTCCAGGCAGGATAGGGGAGCTGGCGTGGGGTTCAAACCCAGAGGGAGGCAGGGTCACAGCTGGCTAGTGGGAAGGAAGCGGGCATTGGTGGGGCTCATGAGGGGGATCCTGGGAAGATGGAGAGGAGGGAGCGCGTATGGCAGGCAGCTTGGAGGCCCCCAGGGGCCCGGATCCTGGGGCGTGGGGCCCAGGCCCCTGCAGCCTCGGCTGGATACAGGCGGTGGCTCAGAACTCAGGCTTGAAGGGCTTGGGTTCTGCTATCTGAAGGCCTGAGGCCTGTCCTTGTAGGAGAAGGGGCACGCGGCAGCTCACCCCAGGCACCCCCAGTTTGCCTGTTTGTGGGGATGTGCCCCCTCTCTGGTCTGGGGAGGCGACCCGAGCCTTGCAGCCTCGTGCCCACTTACTGTCAGCACCGAGTGCGGAAGCCTGGTGGTACCGTAGCACCCTGCCTGTGGGGTCACGGTTCCCTCATGGGAGTCATCTGCGAACTTGAAAGAGATTTCTGGGGGTGCCTGTGTGGGTGAGGCCGTGGATCGTCCGACTTTGGCTCAGGCCGTGATCCCGCTGGATTTGAGCCCCGAGTAGGGCTTTCTGCTGTCAGCTCGGAGCCCGCTTCGGATCCCCTGTCGCCCTCTCTCTGTCCCTCCCTGGCTCACGTTCTCTCTCAAAAATAAATATATATGTATATAAAAAACATTCCTGGTGCCAGTGCCCACCCCAGACCTAGTGAGGCAGAAACCCTGGGGATAGGGTCTTTTTTAAAATTTATTGTTTATTATTGTTTAGTGTTTTACTTTTATTTTTGAGAGACAAAGAGAGACCAAGCATGAGCAGGGGAGGGCCAGAGAGAGAGGGAGACACAGAATCCGAAGCAGGCTGTGCTGACAGCTCAGAGCCCAGTGTGGGGCTCAAACTCACGAACCGTGAGATCACGACCTGAGCTGAAGTCAGAAGCTTAACTGACCGAGCCACGCAGGCACCCCTAGAGGTGGGGGTTTTGAAGCTCCCCGGGGACTCCCGACACCTTCTGTTCCACTGGGCGATGACCACACTGTTGGGAAGCAGAAATCCGGCCTTTCTCCTGCAGTGGCCCAGCCATGGGCCAGCCTGCTGGGCCTGGACATTGCCCTGTGACTGCCACCTGGCCTGGTCTGGGTCCCTAAAGTGGACCTGGGTAGGTCTGACTCCAGGCCCATCCCCCGCTCTCTCCTGGTCCTGCAGGAGGAAGACCTCTTTGTCCGCGGCGTATCCGTCCTGGGCAACCTGGCGGATCAGCTCTACTACCCCTGTGAGCACATCGCCTGGGCTGCCGATGCCAAGATCCTCCGTGTGGACTCTGCCCGGTGGTGGACACTGAGCACGGCCTTCTGGGGCCTCTCCCTGCTGCTGGGCATCGCCAGGCAAGTGGTGTTAGCACGCGCCGGCAGGCTGTATGGGTGCCCCGAGACCTGGGCCGATGGGCAGACAGGCTGGGGGTGCGAGGGTCTTGGCCTCTTCCCACAGTCCTCCTCTTGTTGACCCCTCCCTGGACCCATCCAACGGCCGCCCTAACAGATGCCCACAAAGCCGGTGGCTTCAAACGTCACACGCTGACTGTCTCGCCGTGCTGGAGGGCGGACGTACAGTAGGGACTCCCCAGGCTAGAAATCGGGAGGCTGCAGGGGACAATTTGTTCCTGCCTTTTCCGGCTTCTAGAGGCCACTGCCCTGCTCGGCTCGTGGCCCCTCCTTCCATCTCAGAGCCTGTCCCTCCAGCCTGTGTCCCTTGTCACATCTTCTCTAACTCCAACTCCGTGCGTCCTTCTTCTGGGTGTCATCCCAGGGCCACCTCGGTCACCTCCCATTTCAAGACCCTTAACTCGGTCACGTCTGCAGAGTCTTTTTTTTTTTTAGCATGTAAGGGAGCACA